TGCTGCCACACATTCCTCACAGTTGCATAATTTGATGTTAATTAAATCATGTCCTCTAGCTAAGATCTTACTAAATTTGTTATCAACAGTTCAAATAAGCCATGTGAAAGGCCTGAACAATTAGCATTATTCTTTGTGCTACAATGGCAGTGCAACACAGCAGCACTTCCTAAATGTAATGCAGATGTGATGTGTCCCGTTCAATGAGCTATAAAAGTGCTTTGTACCTACAGAAACACAGGTTTTGTCATTGCCCAGGACATAGCCAGCAGCACAGGAACAGGACAGCACAGCACAGCACAGGAGATGATCCCTGCATCTCCATTTTTTCAGAACTGCTTACAGTTCTCAAGTCGACCTTGCATCACTTGGTATGACTGCAAAGGAGACAAATGTACAGGCAGGTTACAGGTTCATGGTGACTTCATAGAAGCAACAGCAGCTTATAAATCTGGCTCAAAAACATTAGGCAAACACCCCACACTTTAGGAAATAGAGTACAATTCCTGCAAAAGGCCTTAATAATAACAACAATAGTTGAACTATTATTTTAAAAATGGTAAGCTGTCAACATTTGGTAGACTGCTATTATTCTACATCTTCTGCTATGTTTCTCAGCTGTAACTAACAGCTCTCAGAGACCAGTTCAAGGAGCAATCTGTACTTGCCAGAACGGCCATTGCACTGAGGCAAAGATGAACATAGATGTAGGTAAGAGGCAAAAAATATCAACAGCTAAAGCATCAATAACAAATGAGGTGGTGGACTCTTGCAATATTCCCTTTCCATCTGTATATGGCTCATGCTACCTTAGCTCAGTCCTGGTATTGCAAGATCACAGGCAGAGTGAGAGAGCTCTTCCTGGCTCTAACAGTGCAAGAGCAAGTAAACTGGTCCTAAAGATGTTGTCTAACCTGTTCCTACAGATTCATAATGAGATTCCACAGCTCACCCACACTTAACACACTCCTTAATTAGCCTTATAATGTCTAAAAAGTACTTCCTAACATCTAAACTGAGTAGCCCTAAGAGTGATGGGATCTCATGACTTCTTGTCCTAGCTGTTCATCCTCATGAAAACAAAGAAATCTTGCTTTTATTACATATTTTACAAATTTCTGTGATTGCGTGTTGTGGGACCAAAGGTGAAATTTCAGTTTTGTGTTTGCATAATTACCTTCTATTTACATTGGACCAGTGTTTCAGTTTCTCAAGACTTCCTGAATGATCCATCTCAAGTTATGGTAGTCCTTCCAGTCTGCAATGAGGTAAAAAAGCCATGAGAAAACACTCTGTTTTGTCTTGCCTGTTACTGTGTCAGAGTCACAGCCTGTCACCTGTGTGGAGATTTGCACTCTGTATAATCCTTCAATCAAGCAGCACAGTTTCTTGACCAGATATGCACCAAATTTACAGATGTTTCTGTTGCAATAAAAGTGTCAGATAAAATTATGTTGGACTCCTCCCTTAAAGGAGAGACCTGAGGTTTACTCCATGTTTTGTAGCCACCCAGCCTATTATCTTGTCTTTGGGGAAAATGGATGTGATTTTTACCTTGGAGAAATTTGATGTGATTTTTTCTTGACTAGTGAAGTTCAGAAGTTTCTTTCCTCCTTGTTGGGTGCAAGTTATTTGGTACCTTAAGGAAGAAAGTCTTTCTTCTCCATGGGGCACAGACTAACATTCATAGTCAATCTTTCATTATTCAAATACTTAGATCAGCTCTTCATTTTCACATCACAATTATCTTACTGCATTTACTCCTCAGCTTTTCTGGTCTTATGTCAGGACATTTACAATTCTCTTTATACAGAGTGAGGAACTTTTACATTTGCTTTTGGAAGTCAGGTCATGAAAGATCTCACAGTTTTAATCAATTTTCCTGTACATTCCTGACCTTGGGACAGTTTTGACTTTTGCCTTAAACTCTTCAGGGTTTTGTGGGGATTTTAGAAGTAGCCTCTCTTTTAAAAATATATTAATTTTATTCTCTGGCTCTTTTTCTTTACTTCATTAACAAGCTCTGCCATTTTTACAGATACTTTTATAGAAGTGGCCTTCCATCTTTGTTTTGTAGAGAAACTTCTAGTCTATGTTTTAACTGTAAATGCACATAAGTGAAGTCAAAATTGCTTTTGACATATTTCTATGAGATTTTCATTGAAACTTCCTGAAGATTCACAGGGCACCTTGTGTCCCACTGAGTACCTTTGCCATCTCATCTCTGGGATGTTAAAATCCGCCTCTAACTCACAGTTCTTGTAATGGTGATGACTCAGGTGTTTGTTCAGTTGTCTCCAATCACAGACAACAGCAAAATTAAAGCATAAGGCATGCATCATGTCTGCAATATGATTCATAAACTTACTCTGTAAAGAGGATCTCAGGGTCCAACCTGAAGGAGAAGTGGCATGATTTATCAAGTGGAGATGAGATGATTCTGTGGAGATGTACAAAATTACAGGGGGTAATGGAGTAGGGATCTCATTCCCCTCTACTGTTAAACATTGAGGGATCCATTATGTCCTTCAGTAGCTTATCAATAGTTAATAAGGATTATTTATTATCACATTTCTTGAGAACATTAAGAATAACCCATTAATTGTGCTGAGCATTTGAAAACACTACATATTGACATACTGACCCCATAATTGACACTGACACAACTGGCAGGCAAAAATGGATGTGCCTCAGCCCTGGATATCATTACACTGCAGCTGACAAAGGGGAGCAAAGCAGAGACAGCAGAGCTACCAGGTCTTCACTCATGTCCCCTACCCTGCAAAGCAAAAATGCTGACAACTACTTGTGTGGTTTGGGCAAAGCAGCACAAAGCCAAGTTAAAGCAAATGCTCTACCTGTCTGCCTCATCTGAAGGAAAAGGAGGACAACAGGAAGAAGCCACATTGTCCCACGATGACCTGCTGTGCCCATCCTCTGAGCTCACTGTGCATCACCCACTGCTTTCTCTGCAGGGCTCTGGGGCAGCTGCTAAATGAGAAACACCACAGTGCAAAGGTCATTCACTCATGAGAAAACAAAACCTCTGAGAGCAAAGTCTGCACTCAGTGTCACCACGGCACAGTGTTAAGACACAAAAAA